GAAATTAAGTGTTAACGAGCAGTTGGACAGGTGTACCTAATAAAGTGGCCGGTGAGTGTATATCCCGATATATTGCGATTTTTTTTTTTGTCCAAAGATTATATGAAAGGAGACCAATTATGGGTCCTAGAAATGTTTATGGTATGTCTGTGGGCTATCCAGACCATGTTCATTCAATTTCATGCACAAAATAATTGTCAGATAATAAAATTTCCCATTTTCTAGTTCTGCCTGCTCTGACTTCTGTTCAGAAGAGCTGTTTATGTTAATGAGCTCTGTTGGTAACGCCCTCCAACAATCTGTTGACATTAACTCCGCCCTCCAAAGCCAGCGTTTACGTTAGCATGGCTAATAATAGCAGAAGCTCCGTTGTACAACCATATGAGACCCAGAGGCAGAGTCGTGGTCCCAGCTTCTTCTTTTTTCTCTCCCTCCTCTGCTCTGCTCTCACTCTGCATGCTGTTACCAGAGCAGGGAGCAGCAGCGGTCAAAATACTTCAGAAACTCGAACAAATAGGCTTTAACAAGGCTTTAATAAGCTAAACAATAGAGGTACATGAGAAAATGTGTTCATAACGAACGAAAAATAAATAAAATAATTAAATAATGCCTGTGCCGGTTTTGAACCCTGGTCTCCCAGGCTTTGGTCCAACACTCTGCCCATTGCCCTATTGGTGGCTTGTTGTGAAATTATCTGCGAATTACACAACAACACGGTGACGGCTGTTTATACTGAGGAGGTGGAGTCTCACCTGGGGGTTGCTAGGTAAAGGACTGAACGCAGGTTCCGGTGGGTTGTCGTACGGCTTGTGACATCACAAAATGACGGAAGTATAAAACTCGTCGTTAATACACATTAAAAATACATTTACTTACAGTAAATATGCCCCTGGGTGCATTTTTTTGGTCCTAGGGCTGTTTTTTTAAGAAGTACATACCCAAAATTGAGTTAAAAAAAACCTTTAAAATGTGGATTTTGCACAATAGGTCCCCTTTAAATAAAACCCTCTTACTAGGAAAAAATGAAAACCAAAATTCATTGTCTCAGAGAATTCTAATATTACATAGACATACTTTTGATACATTTAGCTGTGTTCTGCTTTGTTTGTGTTTT